TTCACTTCACATCAAGGTCCAAGAAAACGAAAATGTCTCTCATATTATTATGGCCCACATAGTAAGTACTTCACTGAGAATTCACATGCATGTCCTTAACCACCACCTGACAAGCATCGTATGCACTTATGGTCAAATAAAAAAAACATTTATTTAACAAAAGACATTGCCCGTCTCCGCCCATCACTCTGCTGCTGAAACCCTGATTCATGCATTCATCACTTCACGACTCGACTACTGCAATAGCATCCTCTACGGCAGGGGTGGGCAATTATCTTTTCCATGGGGCCACATGAGAAACAAAATATATTGTGGAGGCCCGGGCCAAAAGGCTGAACTCAATTCTGCATTATATTAATTGTATTTCTTTATGAAAAACAGTAAATAGCATTGTTTTGACAAGCTGGTAAGAGTATATGTTATAGTTGAGCAATGAAAAAGTGAGCTTGCCTTACAAAAAATATAATTTATTCAATCAAATTTCCCAAAACAATGGTAAACAAAATGTGAACGTTTTTCACCATTTCTGACTCATAGTGAACATTTTCAGTCGCATTCACTCAAACACATTTTGAGTTTCATTTACTGTTGGAAAGTTGTGTAAAGGTTCTTAGCATTCTTAAGACATCACAACATTGTCTTTGTGCTCCAAACATTCAGCAATACATCATTGAACTGTCACTGAACATCACTGAACGGTGATTTTGAGAAAAAGGCTTCCAAAGAAAGTGTCCCAGGTCTCTGCTAGTTGGTGCCTTTACGTGCCTACATGTGCAGTCTAACCGCCTCATTTGGTGTTTTGAAGTTCTCTTTTCTTGTTCAGTGAGAGAAATCTAGTCTCTGCTGGGCTTTAACGAGTGCATCGAAGTCAGGTTGAATGTCTGAGGTGGAGATGCGAAGCACAGCTGATCATCAGTGAGGGAGGATCTATACCTGGATTTCATAAACTTCATCTTTGAAAATGTTTGTTCACAGATGTAGGTAGAGCCAAAGAGAACCAACATCTTCTGAGCATGTCTCCTCATGTTTGGAAAGTTCTCCTCCTCGAGAGAAGAGTAGAAATCCAGCAGAGATCCTGACTTAAAGCGCTCTACCTGCATCAGACTGCAGGTCGATGAGTTCCAGCTGAACATCACTGGGTGCATTATCCACACTGCAGGTAAAGGGAGAGGAGATCATGAGCATTTCATCCTCCATTGTTCGGAGATCTTCAAATCGCCTTGAAAACTCACCATGCAATGCTCCTAACATGGATGAGTACCTGCGGAGGTGATCAGCTGATGGTGTGACTTCTTTCAGGGTCTGCATGTGAGTGAGAGTGTTGCTCTCCAGTTGGCCATGAAAGCCTTCACCAGGCTGCATTTCATGAACCAAAAGGCCCTCGCCCTGCAGTTCGGTGTTCAGCTCATTCATCAGTGCAGTCACATCAACAGCAAATGCTACATCTGCCATCCAGTCCTCATCTGAGAGCTCTGGGATGTCTTTGCCTTTCTTCTCACAAAACTCTTGAATCTCTGCTTTCAGGTCCCAAACTCTTTTCAGCACTTTGCCCAGGCTGAGCCATCTGACAGCTGTGTGGTGCCGATGTCACGATGCTCAGTCTCATGCTCCTCCAAAAGTGCAACAAACTGTCTGTGATTCAAAGCCCGTGCCCTGATGAAGTTTACTATTTTAGTAACAACATCAATAACATGGTGAACTTTTAGCACTGACTTGCACAACACATGTTGGTGTATAATACAATGCAAAAATACCAATTTCTGATCTGCGTCGATTTCAGTCACTTTATCTTGCATACGTTTCAAAAGTCCAACATTTTTACCGGTAAGATTTGGACAACCGTCTGTTGTGACACCTGCCAGTCCGTCCCATTTCAGTCCCAGCGTGTCCATGCACGCATTTACCTCCATGAACAGATCGCTCCCTGTCGTCGTCCCTTTCATCGGCCGCATTGCTGTCTTACTGTTACATGAATCCCATGAATGTATGAGACTAAGTTATCTTCATCATATCGGGTTACTATCAGCCTGTCACTCATTATTTTCAGGAGGGGGCGGGGTTTGGAGCAGCAGAGAGGAGACGGTGATCGCGGAAGCTTTCCTCCTGCCTTCACAAACTTTACACAAGTATTTATCAACTGAAAATAGCAAGAGGACATTCATACTCTGCAATTCAAGACTTGATTAAATCCACCAAAAACCTGACATGACGATAACGAGTGTTTTTCAACACTAAGCTAAAGGCGGCTAATGTTGGGCTATAAAGGAACTACAGCGCGGTCACATGACTTCACGTCACCACCGCTAAGCTAAAGGCGGCTAATGTTGGGCTATAAAGGAACTACAGCGCGGTCACATGACTTCACGTCACCACCGCTAAGCTAAAGGAGGCTAATGTTGGGCTATAAAGGAACTACAGCACGGTCACATGACTTCACGTCACCACCGCTAAGCTAAAGGCGGCTAATGTTGGGCTAAAAAGGAACTACAGCGCGGTCACATGACTTCACGTCACCACCGCTAAGCTAAAGGAGGCTAATGTTGGGCTATAAAGGAACTACAGCACGGTCACATGACTTCACGTCACCACCGCTAAGCTAAAGGAGGCTAATGTTGGGCTATAAAGGAAGTACAGCACGGTCACATGACTTCACATCAACACCGCTAAGCTAAAGGAGGCTAATGTTGGGCTATAAAGGAACTACAGCACGGTCACATGACTTCACGTCACCACCGCTAAGCTAAAGGCGGCTAATGTTGGTCTATAAAGGAACTACAACACGGTCACATGACTTCACGTCACCACCGCTATGCTAAAGGAGGCTAATGTTGGTCTATAAAGGAACTACAGCACGGTCACATGACTTCATGTCACCACCGCTAAGCTAAAGGTAGCTAACGGTGTGCGTGATGACGTTTACTTGTCTCATTTAGACACCCATTAGCAACCGCTGTTTTTAAATCCATCAGTGGGGTATTTACTGACGTGTTTTATGTCGTAGAACAAATCGTTAAAATCTCCTCAGCTTGTGTTAACCACAGACCTTATGTCAGGCTGATAACCAAAAACACTTTCAGGAAACCATTGACTTCCAGACATGGGAACAGGAAGTGCTAATATGCTGACTCTTTTCTGGGTGTTTGGACTCATTCCTGCACCACTCTCTTTGTACGTTAGACTATAAATACAATTCCGTGCCTTACCGTGTACTCTTGGTCTTCCTACACCCTCCTCTCTGCTCAGCTGCCAGTGAGCTCTTTCATTAAATCAGATCTGCAAACAAGTCCGACTCTGCCTCTGCCTCTGCCTCTCCAATCTGTGAGGACTAATGTGTGTTTTTCAGCATGAATATGTGGCTGCTGCTGCTTTGTACTCATACCACAGCCTCCAGCAGCAGTTTTCTTATCTGTACTCTCTAATGAACTACTCTCACATTTTCAACCTGTTGGATGGGAGTTGAGTCACTTTGCAAACGGTCACAACCTGCTGCTTTCCATAAAGCCGTCTGATCTCTGCTGCGGTTAAAGGCGGAGCACAGCGGCTGCATAACAGCGGCTGCATAACAGCGGCTGCATTTAGACCCAGAAAAGGTGTGGAAGCCCACACAAAAAGCTGCCGGCAGGAGATAAGTCTCTGCTCACTTTGTGGAGCCGGGAACTGGCACTTTGACTCCCAGAATGCATTTGTTGCTGGCAGTGTTGCAACAAGAGGAAGAATAATGGTTTAATTTCCTCCTGACGCCTCACACATATGCAGCATATGAGCTTCCAGTGATGCCGTCGCTCATGCAAACTTAAAACCCTCATAGAGCACAATGTGTCAGCTGAGGTTCACTGCGCAGAATAACCAGGGCCGATGACATTTATGGGAATGATTTTGTTTTCCAAGCACGACTGTACTGCTCTGAGGAGAACGGCTCCTCTGAAAAATGTTGTTATCGTTGGAACAAATGTATTTCAACCTCTGGTGAAATGTCGTAAAGTATTAATGAATTACTGTACTAAAAGGGGTCCCGTTATGGTCTTGTGGTGTTCCCTTTCCTGTTCTACGGATTCCAATGGATGCCTGAAACACATCCATTGGAATCCTTTGTTTACTTGCAGAACATAGTGACATCACTATGTAACACTCACGCTTCTATTGGCTAGCTCTCCAACACATTGTACCTGATAGGCTAAGGAGAGAGAAAGCTCTAAGCGGTTGACCAATCACAACAGAGCCAGCCAGCTAACCAATCAGAGCAGACTGGGCTCTGGTTTCAGGCAGTATGAGAACAATAAAGAGCTTTTTGAACATTAAAGCAGAAAACCACATCATGATCATTTAAAACATTGGTCTCTCATATAAAAAATCCTATACAAAATTGCGATAGCAGTAAAATAAAATACTGCATAAAGCCCTAACATCATAATAACGACCCAATGCTATTAAGGAACTCTGGTTACACATGTTGTAACCCGTCATAAGCACAAAGAAACGTTTCCATCAGCACTAAACAGTCCCTGCACCCCTTTATGCAACAATAACGTTCATTTAAACCTTTCAAACCATTAGCGGCCTAAAATGTAGTTAAAAAAATGACCTTATGTCTTTCAATCGTCTGGTAGTGTGTAGTTAATGAGCTAAATCTTTGTTATGGTCCCTTAAGAATCACCATCAGTCTCAAATGGTATCTGATCTGTTTCTCCATTCACACAGACACATTCCTCTTCCCTCGGTTGTTCTTGGCCGACTCTGTTTCCTAATGAAAGACATTTGTTTGATAATGAGACTTTTCTCTCCTCTTGTAATGACGATGTCAGACTTTAACAATGACTCTAATCTTGTACTTTTGTCCTGTGTCTCCTCCATCCTCTGCTCTTCCTCTCCATCTGTTTCTGACTGATTACCCTCTCCCCCTCTCCCCCTCTCCCCCTCTCCCCCTCTCCCCCTCTCCCCCTCTCCCCCTCTCCCCCTTTCCCCCTCTCTTCCTGCTCCATGCTCCCTCTCTCCTCTCTCAGGTGAACAAGCAGCAGCTGCAGGCGGTGAAGGAGCGTTTCCTGGCCTTCCTCAACGGGGAAACTCAGATTGTTGCGGATGAAGCTTTCTGCAACGCTGTGAGGAGCTACTATGAGGTAGGAAATGTTATCTCTACTCTATAGAGCGGTGCAGGGATGACATGCCTTTGTAGGCCGTTCCTGAAGTTGGCATCTCCCTGGTTCCTTGGGAGGCCAATTGGGATTTCTCCATTGGATCTCAGAATATTGCTGAAAATAATCTCTCTGGCAACAAACGTTTATGATTCTAACACTTTTTGTTCGGCAGGATAATCTCCACGTTAGGCTATAAAGGAACTACAGCACGGTCACATGACTTCACGTCACCACCGCTAAGCTAAAGGTGGCTAATGTTGGGCTATAAAGGAACTACAGCACGGTCACATGACTTCACATCACCACCGCTAAGCTAAAGGTGGCTAATGTTGGGCTATAAAGAAACTACAGCACGGTCACATGACTTCACATCACCACCGCTAAGCTAAAGGTGGATAATGTTGGGCTATAAAGGAACTACAGCACGGTCACATGACTTCACATCACCACCACTAAGCTAAAGGAGGCTAATGTTGGGCTATAAAGGAACTACAGCACGGTCACATGACTTCACGTCACCACCGCTAAGCTAAAGGTGGCTAATGTTGGGCTATAAAGGAACTACAGCACGGTCACATGACTTCACGTCACCACCGCTAAGCTAAAGGAGGCTAAAGTTAGGCTATAAAGGAACTACAGCACGGTCACATGACTTCACGTCACCACCGCTAAGCTAAAGGTGGCTAATGTTGGGCTATAAAGGAACTACAGCACGGTCACATGACTTCACGTCACCACCGCTAAGCTAAAGGAGGCTAATGTTGGGCTATAAAGGAACTACAGCACGGTCACATGACTTCACGTCACCACCGCTAAGCTAAAGGAGGCTAATGTTGGGCTATAAAGGAACTACAGCACGGTCACATGACTTCACGTCACCACCGCTAAGCTAAAGGTGGCTAATGTTGGGCTATAAAGGAACTACAGCACGGTCACATGACTTCACGTCACCACCGCTAAGCTAAAGGTGGCTAATGTTGGGCTATAAAGGAACTACAGCACGGTCACATGACTTCACGTCACCACCGCTAAACTAAAGGAGGCTAATGTTGGGCTATAAAGGAACTACAGCACGGTCACATGACTTCACGTCACCACCGCTAAACTAAAGGAGGCTAATGTTGGGCTATAAAGGAACTACAGCACGGTCACATGACTTCACGTCACCACCGCTAAGCTAAAGGCAGCTAATGTTCATTTTAAACGGTGAACATCAATGCAAATGTATAAATATCATTAAGAATAATAATATATTAGATCTAATATATTGAGTAAAAAAAAGCAAAGGTACAGAAAGGCAGCTTACGGTTTTTTATAACTTTATTCTTCATTTACAAACCTTCCTTTGCCGATCATGCAAGTCTCCTTTTCAAAACATATCTTTGGCAGCCACTGCAATGACCTTCTTCTTATAGTCACACACTGACACAGATACACTAGTGATAAGCCAAAATCAGTCATATAGAATTGGAGGGATGAACCCCTCTTTAATGGTCACACATGCAGAGCACACACAGTGAAATGTGTTCTCTGCTTTTAACTAGGGATGCACGATATCGGTTTTTTGAAACCGATACCGATAACTTCCTGCTTCTCAAGACCGATACCGATAACCGATAATAATATAATATATATATATATTAAATGTACCTGTAGTTTTTGCACACCTGGTGGTAAAAAAAGACTAGTAGTGAGCAAATGACATGAGCATTACTACTATGAACAAAACAAAGCCAAGAACAGTTTTGACTCTTCAAAGCCTTTTTCAAAAGCCTCGTGGATAGGTAAAAGCCCCGGTGCCTTTGCAGCTGGCTTTGGATTCGCCGCTAGTTTAGCAGCGCAGGCGCCTTCGTACGCTTTTAACACACCATCGTAGCGATGGCGATGTTTCAGGTGACTAATCAGGTTGGAAGTATTATAGCTCGTTGCCTTTTTCCCTCCTCATGGAACTTCTGCATTTGTTAATACAAATAGCAAGCGAACTATCTAACTCTGAAACTTTGAAATAGTCCCATACTACCGACGACATGTTTGTTTACTGTCCTGGCTTCACGGCCGCACACCATTTACGTCACAGCTCCAGTTAGGGAGTGCTGGATTTGTGAAAAACTCCCCTCTTCCTAAACCAGTAATACAGGGGTGGGGAACCTTTTTCCTCTCAAGGGCCACTTCAATTTTTTCAACATCCTCCGAGGGCCGTACAAATGATTGACCTCTGCTTAAAAATACTAAAATCACAGCCCACTCATTTCACCTTTCTTTCATTCTGTGCAAAGAAAAAGCAACCTCTTAATCCAGATATCTGGCCATGACTCACGCATGCATGCATGCATGCATGCACGTGCACGGTGTGGCATGACCAGCCAAACAGAAATATATGGATACAAGATGTGTGCAAATGTATTTAGTTTCCTATCCATGTGAACATGATTTAAGTGGGGGGGGACCTAACCTCCTCTAGGGGGGTCCGGGGGCATGCTCCCCCGGGAAGATTTGTTTTAAAATGTTGAAGTTAAAAGCATCAATCTGGTGCACTTGAGCAACATGAGGAGATCTATGGAAACATCTCTCAACACCCATATGAAACAGAACTGGAAGCAGATTTTCTTTTTGATTTTTTACAATCACTCTCCTTTCAAACTGTATTCTTGCTTATTAATAACAACTTTTTTTTACTGTCATTTACTGTCATACTGTAATTTTATACCTGTTTACTTTATTCTCTTGTTTTTTGATAACTATAATGATCATATAAAGATGTGCCTTCACCTCACTGGTTGGAGAAAAAGCTTCTTATATTCGTTAGCATAGCTAGCTAACCAGATGCTAATAACAACAAAGTTATTGACTGTATGATCAGTGTGACAGATGAACAGACCACTGGGCTTTCAGCTAAAGACACAGCCACGCAGAAACTGCAGCATGTGTCCGGCTCTTTATGGGTGCTGCAATTTTTGGAAGTGCCGGAGCGGAGCGGCGTTCTGGTGCTCTCCGTCAGAACTACACCCCTGTCAGACGAGACATATACCACGTGATGACACGTTAGGCTTGTGTTGTGTTCAAGGACCCTGACAGGAAAAACAGGCACTCACCTGTTTAATTATTTTGCGGTCTAGATTTCTTTAATTTGTTTGCGTGTGTTTATAAATTACCTCGAGGGCCATACCAAATGGTCTCGCGGGCCGTACACGGCCCGGGGGCCGGAGGTTCCCCACCCCTGCACTAATACCACAGTACTGGCAAAACGGGAGGAGCCGAGTGAAAAACAAGCGCCCCTCATCCCAATCCACCCACACCGCAGTATTTTTTTCTTTTTTTTTACCCAAAAAATATATTTTATATTATCGGGGCTATTAATACTTTTATCGGGTTTATCGGGATGACGTCATAATTCCTAATATCGGACCGATAATTATCGTGCACCACAATTATCGGGCCGATATTTATCGTGCACCACTACTTTTAACCCATCCTAGTACCAGGAGTCTAGTACCAGGAGCCGTGGGCAGCTATTGTACAGCGCCCGGGGAGCAATGGGAGTGAGGGGGGAAGGGGGGTGTCCGGTGCCTTGCTCAAGCAGGGCCCAGGAGGTGAACTGGGTCCTCTCCAAGTAGCAGTCCACACTCCATACTTAGGTCTGGTCGGGGACTTATATCAATACACAGCAAGTCAATCGTTGGGTTCTGGGTCACAAAATCTCTCTGAACTGTGAAAATTAGTCCCGTGTTAAAAATGTATTAAAAGCAGAATATCCCTTTAATCATCTCCACACTAATGCATCAACACTCCTGATTCTCTTCGTGGCTTCCTGTGTTTGCAAGCGGTCCCATGTTCAGTCCTGCTCCACCCCTCTGAGACAGAGTGGTCTTTAAGCTCTTATGGCACAAAGTCATTCAAGTAATCGCGAGCATCACCTGAAACGGATGAGAACATCGATCTCACCAGCTGTTTCCTCTCAGAGAGGGAGTTTTTCTTTCTCTCTCCTCAAACTGAAGCTTTTTAATTTCCATCACCTCTGCTCCCTGTGACCGTTCACATCTCTTCAGTCTCTGAGATTTCTGAAACGCGCCTCCATGCACTCTTTTGGGGTCAGATCATCCCTGCAGCAGTAAGCATCGCAAATGTTCCCTCCGCAAAAGCAATGGGATTGAATTGTTCCCATTATAATATACAGTATACCAATGTTTAGAATAACAATTTGGCCGATGCAAATACAGATTGTTTTTTCGTTGTAACGTGTTTTGTATGATTACAAAACATTGTTGCATTATTTGTTCTAAGGGAATACGCAGCCACTCATCACACTAACGCAGCGTCCACACGGCGGCGTGCGTTGAAGCTTGCCGGTGGGCGTGTCTGAAACTCGACCAAACACCAATCACATGAATCTCCCGCCCCGGACACACAAGCACGAGGTTTGATTGTCCAGAGCTTGTACTGTCATATGATTTGATTGGCTGACTTCAAAAGTTGAACATTGCTCAACTTTTGAAGCGAGCAACGCGACGGAACCACAATGCAGTTCGGCAAAGCGTGACGTCAACCCATTCAAAGTGAATGGGCAGAAGCGTTGAAGCATGCGTTGAGGGCCGTAACTCTGAATGAGCACAAATTCCGAAAGATGATTGTTAAAAAAGGTTATTGAGCCTTACTACTCATTGAGGAGAATTGAAGTTCCAACAGTCAGCGGTTGCGTTTGATTCTTGTTGTCCATCATAACTCATTGGAGCCCAGTCTGCTCTGATTGGTTATCTGGCCGGCTGTGTTGTAATTGGTCAACTGCTTAGAGATGTCCCGCCTCTTAGCCTATCACGTACAATGTGTTGGAGTGCTCACCAATAGAAGCGTGAGTTTTGCATAGTGATTCTGTTCCGTAAGTAAACAAGTTAGTTTGGGAGAGAAACTCCCTCTGGAGCAGTGTTTCGCGGACCACCTAAATTACAAATCGCCTGAAAACGGTACAAACAAGTGGCAACATGTGTGATGAAGGTGTTGCGCTGGGCTATATCATGCAATCGAAAGTGAAACTTAAGCTCGCTCCATTGCGGAAATATTCCTGCGAGAGTGCGGAAAACTGAAATGTATTTATTTATTTAAAATGTGAAATGTTACCAATATACTCACGGACCACTAGTGGGGCGCTCACGGACCACCAGTGGTCCGCGGACCACACTTTGAGAAGCACTGCTCTGGAGGGAACAGGGATTTTAGCCTTGCAGACCATTTACTTGCACTAAACCCTATAGAACAAACTACGGGAAAGGGGACACCCCAGAAAGCAGAACAGGGCCTCTCTTAAATCTCTTCAGCTTGTGTGACCTACTTATCTCAGGCTTCTAACCAAAAACCATTGACTTCAAGAACAGGAAATGCTAAAAGACTTGTTTCAGGGTTGTTTCGACTAATTCCTGCATCCCTCTATTTTCCTTGTGGTTATTTTTGTATATTTTAGAAACTGGTACCCTCACTCCTCCACAGATACAAATCCTCCCACGTCACATCCAGCTTCCGTCTCGCTGCTGGGGGAGGACAGCTGTGAGCACAGATTGCAGAGAATTTCCTTACTCCTTTTTATTCCATTTCTTCTCTATCCCCCCCTCATCTCTGTCTCCCCCCTCCTGCTGAGGCGCCTATCATCTGCTTTGAGATGTTATCGGCCACTTGCAGCCTTGTCTCCTTAATTGCCAGTAAAGTGTGAGACGAGAGGATATCAGTGAAACTCCCAGCGTTTGTCTCGCTGACAGCCTGATGATCAAAGTCCTCCTAAGTGGACATCATCGTCCCCACGAGACACAAAACACTCTCCTGGGACATGTCCCTGTTGTTCCTGCACTCACCACCCTGATCATATATTATTATGTGTGTACAGCATCACCAGGGATTCACAGTGTTTTCCATTCATCATATACACTACTGGAAGATGTTGCACATGAGGAAAGATGGCTGTCAGACTCAGAAACACACCAGATGATCTATTTCTGCTTCTCGCCCCGCTACAACTCTGCATCACTCCTGGTAGACAAAGAGTTGACTTGTTTTACAAATTGCACACAAAGCGAGTTTAGTGCAGATACAAACAGAATATGTTGTTAAAACAAGAACAGCATGACTCTGGATATACCATTGCAACTACTCATGGCATTGTTGCTAAGATTTAGCTGAATATATTGACAATTCTGATATGTTGAAATATATTTTTATCAGCAACAAATGCAAACCATCATTGAATGTATTTACTAAGAGGTTTTGTTTGTGTATCAAAGCTTGGTTTATCTGTGCAATAGAGCGCCATTGTACTTGGCTTTCTGCAAGGGCCCGGATATGCGACCATTTGCTTCATGTCGCATAAAAAGCAACAAAAACAACATCTCAACTCAAAGAAAGATCAACGAGACCGACTCAAGTCCACAGGAAGTGCGCTGGGCATTGAAGTACATTTTCATAGTGGCCAAACCATGATACTACAACTTCTGTCACGTAATGCAATCCAGCCCAAGAATACTTTAATAGAGGCGTCTTTTAAAGGTGGGGTAGGTAATTCACTTCAGAAACACTTTGTTATATTCCATGGAATGCTCTTAACATCCCGATAGCAATGAATACATTTAAAAAAAGCCGTGGTGCTGTAAAAAGCACGACCAATCATCTGAGCCGGCCCGGCTAAAATAACTGGATGGCCTACCTGCCTGTCAGCCCTCCATCTCGTGCCCTCATTGGTCATGTGTGCGTCCGTGTGTGTTGGAGGAGGGGCTCTGTAAGGAAGTCTGAAGGTCAAAAGGCAGATTTTTTTTTTGGTTGTTTATTTTCAAATTCTAGCGCACACGAGCTGGTTTCTCCATTCCTACCCTACCTTTAAGGGTGTTAGATTGTTTTAAAACACAGACAAACACATGGTTGGTTTTGGTCTTTGTTTAGAATTAGCTGATAAAGATATAAATATGAAATAAACCAGAAATGTAAAAAAATAAATATTCTGGGCCATTTGTTTAACCAGGATTCAGTATTTAGTAAATGAGGGGGCGATGACATGCATCGTGGGTCTCCAGCTGGATAGGAAACACATTTAGTTTTATGGTACATGGTATACTGTTTCATCACCCTCCATCACACTGTTATGAGCTGCAGGGAAAAGGCAGCGCACCATCATTAGCCGACACAGGGAGGAGAGGGTGTGGAGATGGAGGTGAATCATCAGCAGAGGAGGACACTCTGAACTGGCACCCCAACAGGAAGTGAGACAGCTGGGGAGGCGACAGGATTTCACAGCCCTCACACTGATTCTCCTCATCACGGGTGCAATTCATTTCAGTGCAACATTAGTTCCATGAGCGTCTTTTCACCAGCCTGGGTGTTTTTGACTCTGAGAGGCGAAGGGGTTCAGATCTGAAACACAAAAGCTGTGTTCACAACAAGCTGCTGAAGCCTTGAGACTAACAGGCCGCTAACAGGCCGCTAACAGGCCGCTAACAGGCCGCTAACAGGCCGCTAACAGGCCGCTAACAGGCCGCTAACAGGCCGCTAACAGGCCGCTAACAGGCCGCTAACAGGCCGCTAACAGGCCGCTAACAGGCCGCTAACAGGCCGCTAACAGGCGGCTGCTAACAGACGGCTGCTAACAATAATAATTCATTTATTTTATATAGGCGCCTTTCAAGGCTCTCAAGGTCGCCGTACAAACACATAAAAAACAAGATACACAATACCTAACACCAGCATAAGAAACATAAACAAGACAATGCAACAAATCAAATAAATAAAACAGAGGATGTGTGATGGATAATGATCAGGGTGGATAAGCGAGTGTGAAGAGATGTGTTTTGAGGCGTGATTTGAAAATGGGGAGAGAGTCAGTGTTGCGGATGTCAGGTGGGAGGGAGTTCCAGAGGCGGGGTGCAGAGCGGCTGAAGGCTCTAGACCCCATGGTGGTTAAACGGAAGGGGGGTGCAGTGAGGCTGAGGGAAGCAGATGTGCAGGAGGTCGGAGAGGCACAGAGGAGAGAGGTTATGGATGGCCTTAAAGGCGAGGAGCAGAATCTTAAAAACGATACAGGATTTGAGAGGGAGCCAGTGAAGTTGCTGAAGATCAGTGATGTGGTTAATGGAGGGGGTTCTGGTGATGATGCGGGCGGCAGAGTTCTGAACCAGTTGAAGTCTGTGGATGGATTTGAGAGGGAGACCAAAGAGAAGGGAGTTGCAGTAGTCGATGCGGGAAGTGACCAGGGTGTGAACAAGAATGGCGGTGGTCTTAGGGTTAAGGGACGGGCGGAGGCGGTTGATGTTGCGTAGATGAAAATAGGCAGACCGAGTGATATTACTGATGTGAGATTTGAATGAAAGTGTGCCGTCGAGGATGACAGCCAGACTCTTAACCTGAGGGGAGGGGGAGACTGAAGAGTTCTCTATAGTAATTGAGAAACTGTCAGGTTTGGTTAGGGTGGATTTTGTGCCAATGAGGAGAACCTCGGTTTTACTGTCGTTAAGTTTGAGAAAGTTAGAGGAAAACCAGGATTTGATGTCCTGTAAGCAGTCAGACAGGGAGGGAGGGGGGAGGATGGTGGTTGGTTTGGAGGACAAGTAGAGCTGGGTGTCATCCGCGTAGCAATGAAAGTGGATGTTGTGTTTACGGAAGATATTGCCAAGAGGAAGTAAATAGATGATAAAAAGCAGAGGCCCCAGGACAGAGCCCTGGGGAACACCGGTCGTGACTGGAAGTGGCTGTGATTTGAAGGTTTTGAGTTGGATGAACTGAGTGCGGCCAGACTACTGCTAACAGACTACTGCTAACAGACCGCTGCTAACAGACCGCTGCTAACGGACGGCTGCTAACGGACTGCTGCTAACGGACCGCTGCTAACGGACCGCTGCTAACGGACCGCTGCTAACGGACGGCTGCTAACGGACGGCTGCTAACGGACTGCTGCTAACGGACCGCTGCTAACGGACCGCTGCTAACGGACGGCTGCTAACGGACGGCTGCTAACGGACTGCTGCTAACGGACCGCTGCTAACGGACCGCTGCTAACGGACCGCTGCTAACGGACCGCTGCTAACGGACCGCTGCTAACAGATGCTAACAGACTGCTGCTAACAGACCGCTGATAACAGACGGCTGCTAACAGACGGCTGCTAACAGACCGCTGCTAACAGACGGCTGCTAACAGACTGCTACTAACAGACCGCTGCTAACAGACCGCTGCTAACAGACCGCTAACAGACTGCTGCTAACAGACTGCTGCTAACAGACTGCTGCTAACAGACCGCTGCTAACAGACCGCTGCTAACAGACCGCTGCTAACATGCTAACAGACCGCTGCTAACAGACCGCTGCTAACAGACCGCTGCTAACAGACTGCTGCTAACAGACTGCTGCTAACAGACTACTGCTAACAGACTGTGGGTAGAGGCGGTAAAACCAACAAAAACTCTGAGATATGAGAAAAGGAGGACAGAAGAACAGGAACACGTGAGATCAGGCTCAAATGGCTTTGTGAAATATGGGTACCACATCATTTCAGTTAGTTTTAGGATGCAAGAAAGCCCAATATTCTTTCTCTTGTGTTCTGATTTGATTCTTTTTTGTCCAAAATGATAGTGAAGGCTTAGTGCTTTAATAGGTGGAACTACTGAACCTGTCACCACAAACACCAAGCATACAACGAGTAAAGCATCAGGAACCCTGCCCACTAATCTTATGACCTTATTGGCACTTTCTTTAGTTAACAAGTAACAGCCTGACTCAACACATCACCCGTTTTGTGGGGGGTGGGGGGGTAGGGCTCCAACAGATCATGTGTTCGTGCCAACCGTCACGGTCTGGTGCACGCATGTAAACGGTTTTAAGATCGATGCACGTAATGCGTGACCAAAGTTCACTAGTCCAAGTTACGCCTGGAAACTTTAATATTGTTAGCAACATGTTCCAAGGTCAAGACAAGGTTATTGAAGTGGACATCCTTCACACCAGTGAGCGCAAGAGTGTGTAGGTCTATAAGGCCAGAGGGACCAGCTTTAATGAAAGGTCACCTATTATGCAAAATCCTCTTCTCCATGTCTCTTCTACATCAACATGTGTCCCCTCTTCTTCATGTCTCTTCTGCATCAACATGTGTCCCCTCTTCTTTCATGGTCTCCTTATACATAACATGTGTCCCCTCTTCTTCATGTCTCTTCTACAATCAACATGTTGTCCCCATTCTTCTTCATGTCTCTTTCTGCATTCAAAATGTGTCCCATCTTCTTCATGTCTCTTCTACATTCAACATTGTTGTCCCCTCTTCTTCATGTCTCTTCTACATCACACATGTGTCCCCTCTTCTTCATGTCTCTTCTACATACAACATGTTGTCCCCTCTTCTTCATGTCTCTTCTACATCAACATGTGTCCCCTCTTCTTCCGTCTCTTACAAATGTGTCCCCTCATGTCTCTTCTACATCAACATGTGTCCCCTCTTCTTCATGTCTCTTCTACATCAACATGTGTCCCCTCTTCTTCATGTCTCTTCTACATCAACATGTGTCCCCTCTTCTTCATGTCTCTTCTACATCAACATGTGTCCCCTCTTCTTCATGTCTCTTCTACATCAACATGTGTCCCCTCTTCTTCATGTCTCTTCTACATCAACATGTGTCCCCTCTCATCATCATGTGTCCCTCTTCTTCATGTCTCTTCTACATCAACATGTGTCCCCTCTTCTTCATGTCTCTTCTACATCAACATGTGTCCCCTCTTCTTCATGTCTCTTCTACATCAACATGTGTCCCCTCTACATCAACATGTGTCCCCTCTTCTTCATGTCTCTTCTACATCAACATGTGTCCCCTCTTCTTCATGTCTCTTCTACATCAACATGTGTCCCCTCTTCTTCATGTCTCTTCTACATCAACATGTCCCCTCTTCTTCATGTCTCTTCTACATCAACAGTGTCCCCTCTTCTTCATGTCTCTTCTACATCAACATGTGTCCCCTCTTCTTCATGTCTCTTCTAGATCAACATGTCCCCTCTTCTTCATGTCTCTTCTACATCAACAGTGTCCCCTCTTCTTCATGTCTCTTCTACATCAACATGTGTCCCCTCTTCTTCATGTCTCTTCTACATCAACATGTGTCCCCTCTTCTTCATGTCTTTCGACGATCAACATGTAGTCCCCTCTTCTTCATGATTCTCTTCTACATCAACATGTGTCCCCTCTCTCTGCATCTTTTCTACAATCAACATGTGTCCCCTCTTTCTCATGTCTCTTCTACAAGTCAACATGTGTCCCCTCACTTCTTCATGTCTGTTTCTTACATCAACATGGGTCCCCTCTTCTTCAGGTCCTCTTCTTACATCAAACACGTGTCCCCGCTTCTTCATGTCCTCTTCTTCATCCATCAACATGTGTCTCCCCTCTTCGTCACGTCTCTTCTTACAATCACATGGTGTCCGCCTCTTCTTCATGTCTCTTCTACATCAACATGTGGTCCCTCTTCTTCATGTCTCCTTCTACATCACATGTGTCCCTCTCTTCAGGTCTTTTCTACTCACATTGTCTTCATGTCTCTTCTACATCCAACATGGTGTCCCCTCTTCTCCATGTACTTTCTTAACATCAACATGTGTCCCCTCTTCTTCATAGTCTCTTCTATACAATCAACAGGTGTCCCCTCCTTCTTCATGTCCTTCTTCTTACATCAACATGTTGTCCCCTCTTCTTCATGTCCTCTTCTACCATCAACATGTGTCCACTCTTCTTCATGTCTCTTCTACATCAACATGTGTCCCCTCTTCTTCATGTCTCTTCTACATCAACATGTGTCCCCTCTTCTTCCATGTCTCTTCTACATCAACATGTGTTCCCCTCTTCTTCATGTCTCTTCTACATCAACATGTGTCCCCCGTCTTCTAGTCAATGTCTCTTCTTTCTCTTCTTACATCAACATGTGTCCCCTCTTCTTCATGTCTCTTCTACATCAACATGTGTCCCCTCTTCTTCATGTCTCTTCTACATGCAACATGTGTCCCCTCTTCTTCATGTCTCTTCTACATCAACATGTGTCCCTCTTCTTCATGTCTCCTTCTACATCAAACCATGTGTCCCCTCTTCTTCATGTCTCTTCTACATCAACATGTGTCCCCTCTTCTTCATGTCTCTTCTACATCAACATGTGTCCCCCTCTTCTTCATGTCTTCAATATGTCTCTCTACATCACACGTGTCCCCCTCTTCTTCATAGTCTTCTTCTACATCAACATGTGTC